GGCGCGACAGGACAGACCGGTGGACCACTAGCGTGTGAGGGAGGTGATGTGAACAGAGGGTCACGATGGGTCCTGGGCCGGCGGGAGAGGAGGGGGGAGAGAACAGTAACGGTTTCCCGTGTTGGAGAGGGAGGAAGAATGGTAGGTTGGTGGGACTGCGGGCGGCTGGATTAGCTGCCGCTGATGCAGCATGGGGTACGGCTCAGTGAGCCGTGATCGTACGCTCTCATAATGGGCGTCTAGGTCAACGTGGTGGTTGATGCTGTCCGCATTAGAGTGCCATGCCTTATCGGATCCCCTCCATACAATATAGCTAAATGGTTGTACAAGCATCTGAAGGGGCTAACCCACGGATCTCGCTACAAAATTAACGGCTCTCACGCATTCCTCCACCGGATCGAAGGCCTCGAAGTAAGCACTGATGAATGCCTCTTGTCTTTTGGCGTTGTTGCCTTGTTTTCTTCTATAGCACACTATTTGGCAAGTTACTGCATAGCCCAACGCTTACAGGACAATCCTGTTGATATCCGAACGCAGCACGTTATAGACCTGCTCAAACTGTGCCTTAAGAACTATTGTAAATTCGACAATAAGCATTACCAGCCAGTGAAAGGAATCCCGATGAGTTCACTAATATCAGGACTACTCGCCGAACTAGTATTACAGCGACTAGAAGAAGAGGTTTTTCAAACTCTCACGCCCAAAATGTGGCTCCACTATGTCGATGGCACCTTTGTCGTAATAAAGAACTGCGATGTCGATAGACTACATTAGAAACTGCATTATATCTTCCCGGTCATGCACTTTATCCGGGAAGAGGTAGCAGGAGACAGTCCACCGTTTCTGGACGTGAAAATACAAAGGCTGGGCGATGATAGTCTCGCAACAACCTCCATAGAAAAGGATCTGATTCTGAGATTATCCTCAATTATGGGAGCAATCACTCTGCTGCTCACAAAAGCGGCTGCGTCCGAACTCTCATCCACCGGGCCTACTGCTATTGCAGCAATGACGATCTCCTGAAGAAAGAACTAGCCTATCTACATCATTTGTTTCGATCTGACGGAAATCCGATCAATTTTGTGAGGAACTGCTTCAGGAGTCAGACCCAATCCTGAAGCCTCTCTTAAAATGGGGAACTCGTGACACAGAAATTCCTCTCCCTATCCTATATGGAAGGGATCTCAGAGATGATCGCCCGGCAGTTAAATCAGTTTGGTATCCGCGTTGCCCACAAGCCAGCATCCTCGCTAAGCTCAGCATTATCTCGAGTAAAGAATCCTATCCCCAAAGAGGAGCAGACTAATGTGATCTATCGTATCCTCTGTGCTAATTTCTCTTGCCTGTATGTTGGGAATACGAGCTGGCGCCTGAGAACTCGTATTAATGGGCACAAATTAGTTGCCCGTCACCGTGATACACCGTCCCTCGTCTTTGCGCACGCATCCCAGTGCGATCACCATTTCAATCGGGATGACACTGAGGTCATCGCCACGGCCAACACAAAATGGGATAGAATTTCTAGAGGCATGATAATTTAATGCGGACAACATCAACCACCACGTTGGCCTATATGTCCATTATGAGGGCCTACGATCACGGCTCACTGAGCCGTATCCCATGCCGCATCAGCGGCAGCTAACCCAGCCGCCCGCAGTTCCACCAACCTGCCATTCTTCCTCCCCCTCCAACACGGGGAACCGTTACTGTTCTCTCCCCTCCCTCCTCTCCTCCCGGCCCAGGACCCACCGTGACCCTCTGCCCACATCAACTCTCACCACGTCACCAACTTGAAAATTCACGAGTACAACTCGACTTTTTCCGAAGAACCTCTGCCTTTTTCACTTCTGTTTTTCCCTACAACTCGGGATTTGGCCTGTTCATTGCAGCTCTCCGAGTATACTCACACTACTTAGACGCTACAGGTTCTTCCGGGAGTCTTAACCATTCTTTTAACGAATTTCTTATCCAAGTGCATAGCCGCGGTTTGTCTTGAGGCATATTTTAGGACTGAATATTTTGTCTTGGGGGGGATTACTAAGTAAGCCAACGGTTAATCCAATCTGTCAGCACTGTTGCCCAAAGTATCCCTCTTTCCCCCTCCCTCTGTCCCTTTTAATAAATTGATAGGGCACAATGATTAGGAGAACAGATGAAAGGAGAACTCTAAACAGCAAACACACATTTGAGTGCCACCCACAACTATGGCACAACACAACTTATAATACGAAAATGGTGGTAATGGGAAAATTTTGAGGCAGGAAACGTTCGGTTTTAAATATATAAAAGGGGAAGTTTCATTTGCGCCTCATGCTTATTTTAATGCATTAAAAAGTACTTTGTAGAAAAATAGTTCAGGGGTACACATATTCGCAGCCCCCTCCCTTTCGTTTCTGAGCGGTGGACTAATTGTGGATGGCCAGAACCGCCCTCGCCCACAACGAGGCAACTCCACCATGGCACTCAAACCCGAGTTAGAAGCAAGAGTTCTACCTCAACTGCCTTTGCTGTGAAGAGTGGACCAGATTAATGATTGTGTGCTCATTCTGATCTCTTTTTGCTTCATCCTCTACAAACCGGTAGCGACCTGCCATATGTCTCGATTACTCAACTGACGACATACAAGAGTACGACCGTCGGTTTCGACTATGTCCACCACGTGCTCCATAGAAAGGTGGGAGCAGGTACGTTGACTTCTACAGTACCTGTGCTAACTCATGAAATGTCATGAATTAACACAGGTAAACGACTTTAACGCAGAATCGGTAAACACTACGGCTCCCAATTCTGATAGCGGAAAATAAAAGGTGTGTCAAATAAATAAAGCAAAGTTTGGTTTAGAAAATATTATTTACTGAGATAAAAATAAATAATTTTCGACAGAAGTCACATTTTCGAGAAACGCCTATATTACAACCAAGCTAATAAAGGCTACGTATGAGGGCGTATAAAGGAGGAGGGCGCATAAGCGGGCAAAAATAATTAAGGACAGAAACAGATACAAAAAATCAGTACTTTGTTGATTGTCCATTTGAATTAACAACGGCAGGAAGTCTGTCAGACATAGACATGACGAGTTTATCTATGGTGGATTGTAAAATGTAATTATTGAGTATGAAATCAAATTTTTCCTGTATTGAAAGAGTCTTCTTAGCTTTGTTCCAATTTCTTTTGACTATTCCAAAAAGATTTTCGATAGGATTCAAATCGGGACTGTTGGCCGGGATGAAAATGGTTTGGAGGCCAATTGCGGAGAGGGTTGTTGTTGTTGTCTAAAATGTTAGATTATATTTGCAAGCGGCATCAAATTCGTACCTCTTTAGAGCGGTGGACAGGTGCATTGTCGGGCAAAATTACAGTATCCATTCGGCGTCGACTTATGCCGTTGTAGCCGAAAGCATCCTTGACAATTGCAATAAACACCTTGCTGTTTATGGTGTCGGATGTTGACCGCCAGACAGGCCGCTCACCGAATTTAATCGCCATCCAAACCATCATCCGCCGACAGTTCTTGAATGTTGCCGTCGGTGTAGTGCATTCTCTTGGGAAGTTCTTTCCACATATGACGGTTTGGAGCGATTTCGTAGGCTTGTCTAAAAATAAAACCTCATCGCAGAAGAAAATGCTCCTCCAAAATGAAGATCTGCAATCAATATAATTCTTAGCAAATGAAAGCCGTTCTCTAATTAGTTTTCTACTTAAATATGGCTTTACAGTGATAGTGGACTTGCGCTGCACCTACTCCACTCTCTCCTCCTCCTTCCCACCTCAATGCGGTGTCGAGACAGAGTCAAAAAGACCGGAGGCGAGAGATGACGCGAGTGGCTGGCACGGCGTAGACGCACAGCTAGGCGCTCCATAGCACCCCGTTTTTCACAACGCACAGTGACCAAGATTTTACACAACAAGAGAAGAGGGGGTGATTCGTATCCCACCAGGTGGGAGTCCCATAAAGGCAGCATTAAGGAGCCATTGCAACCTGACTTTCAGTCCACCAGACCACCACTCCACACAAACACACTGGGCTGACTGTGAGGTCCGAATTATCCCATCGGTTGGCAACCATCCAAGCCACGGCTGTTAGCGCATTAGAATAGCTTCAAGCGCGTCAGATTGTTTAGGGTGAGGAAAGTGCGCTAATTCATCGACCACACTCACCCTTCCCATTCCCAGTCACTGTCCGATCCGGTCAGCTGACAGGTGCGGGGGGGGGCGCGGTGACTGACAAATCTAGCGACCTTGTCTGCGCTCGCCACATGCATGAACTGGCCGCCAAACCGAAGCACCAGAATTTGACACAAAACGGGATGGGCGGCATGGATCTCACATGCGTGAGAATACCAGAGGTCACGCTAAGAAGGAGCAATTGCAGTCTGACGCTCAGCTCACCAGCCGACCACTCCGCACGAACACACACTGAGTCGACTGCGAGGTCCGAATTCCATCGTCAGTTGGCAACCTGCCAAGTCGCGATGCTTACCGCACTGTGATAATCTCAGGCTCAGATCACACATATAACAGAGGACTCGAGGAACACACGTCCCAATTACGTGAGAGGTGCCAAGGGTATGCTTGCGTTGTGTGATGTGGGATATGGTCATGTGTGATGTAGGGCTGGTGAAGAGGTGTGATGGTATGGTTCAGCGATGGAGGCGCATGTGACCCACTGGGCCCATTGGGTGAGTGAATGTGCGTGGGCAGTGAGCAGTTTATGAGATGGCGTCTGGTGTCTGTCGGTGCTCCAGGCCGCTCTCTGTGCGATGGATTCGCAAGTAATCGACCAGGCCAATATGAGAGGTGAATGTGCGTGAAAATGCGGGCATGGATACACATGTCACATAATAGGCCTATGAGATAAATGAATGTTCGTGGACAGTGTAGACAGTGGAGGCGGTGCGGCGAGTGCTTGTTGGCACATCAGGCACTGGTTCGACAGTCTCTGCGCGATGGATTCTCAACTAACCGACCAGGCCAATCCGTGAGGTAGATATGCGGGGACGATGCGTGAGGTAGCAGCTCCTTTGCAGTTTCACTTGCCCCAGCACGTCGTGGATGCTGAGGGTTCCGGTCTGTTCCAGGACTCCCGTATGCGGGATCATGTCCTGCCATCTCCGCCTCAGTATTCTGCAGATGCTGCTGAAATGAAGGTGATTCAGCTTCCCAGCTTGATTTGAATAGAAGGTCCAGGTTTCCGCTCCTTACAGAAATTTTGTCAATACGACGATCTTGTACATCCTCTCTTTAGTGTTTGTTTGAAGGCTGTGACCATTTTACGCGGAGGCTTGCTGCTGGCGAAGGTCTGGCTGTTTTTGGAGATCCGGTGAACAACGCCATCGTTGATTTTTATGCTGCACAGGAGTGTGCTTCCTAGGCAAGCAAAATCATCCACGGTTTTAAGTTGGCTGCTTTCAACACTGATTTGAGGAGTGTTGTATTCCATGTTGGGTGACGATCGGTGCATGATGACCGCTTTGTCCGTTTTAATAGCCACTCCGAATTTGATGCATCCGGCGGCAGAGAAACCCATGCCCCTTTGCATGTCCTCTTCGGACGTGGTGTTGATTGCGCAGTCGTCTGAACAGAGCAGGTCGTGGATGGTAGTTATGGAGAGACGCGTTTAGGTCTGCATACGCCAGCTGTTGAGAAGACGCTCGTTGGTTCTAAAGACAATGTGGACCGCAGTGCGCATGTCGCAATAGGCGTCCATCAGCATGACAGTGAACATGAGGCTAGAGAGGGTGGGAGCGCGTACGCAACCCTACTCCACGCCCCTGGTCACTGTGAATGCTTCTCAGACAGTCCGGTTGTCCGTGACATGCTCCATCATCCCGTCGTGGATCTGACGCACCCTGTGATCAAATCGTTCAGGACAGCTGAATTTCAGCGAGAAGTTGGCTGACGTCGGCATTGTTGTCGTTTAACCAGTTCTGGTGTTGGCTACGTGCGCGTACTAGGACATCCAGAGCAGTCGAATGAACAGAGTTTCATAGTTGGCACTGTAGAGTATCCACGGAGGCGTTTCTATCGGGAGCTTACAGACCTTCCAGTCGCTGGGTCAGTTGATTGCTGAAATGGAGACTGGCCAGACAAATTCAACAGAACACTATTGAACCTGCCTGATGGTCGCATACATTGTGACCTCCTGCGCGGTTTTAGCGCGATCTTCATCTTGAAGACGACGAGGCGGTGATCCGTCCAGCCATCGGCGTTGCAGATCGCTTTGGTAACCAGCACATCCTGTTGATCTCGACTCCAGATGAGTGCACAGTCCAGCGGCCTCCATCGCCGCAATCCAGGGTCCATACATGTGGCCTTCTCCCGTGTCGGAAGGCGAAAGGTGTTGATCAGCAGGAGACGATGTTATGCGCAGATTAGCAGAAGATAGGGGCCGTTTTCGTTACAGCTGTTGATTCTATGGGGACCCAGAACTCCCACCCAGGCAGCATGGTCTGTCCCGTAGCGGACTTTGAAGCCGCCAAGAACAATCAGTCTGCCCGCCTTCGACACAGACGTCAGGAGGACCTACAGGTTCCCGACAAAATTGTTCTTTGCCTTGTCAGAGTTGATCATCGGGGAACGTAGGCGCTAATGATGGTGGCGAATTTGGATCCCCAGAGGCAGGCGTCGACTTATCAGTCGGTCGTTTGTGTCCTGAGGCAGACAGGGCAGTCGTTCCACCATGTCGCTCCGGATGGTGAAGGCAACTCCTGCGTCGCATCGTCCTGCCATTGGGTGGCCGCTCTAAAAGAAGGTGTAGCCGGCACCCACCTCCTCCGGTTGGCTTTGTTCTGAGAAGCGGATCTCGCTGAGTTCAGCAATGTTCACCTTGTGGCCCACCAGTCCTCGAGTGACTAGCACCGTCCTCCGTTCCAGTCGGTTGCTTCTCGGATTGCATGAAAGGGAACGAACATTCCAGGCTGTCAGAGTGAGCAGAGTCATTCTAGCAGCCGGTAGGGTACGGGGGGGCAGGGTTGTTGTTTTTCTTTTGAACGTTTCAACCGCGAGTTTTACGTCTACGAGTCAAGGTATACTAGCAGATGTTGTGAATCACCGGTACTTATGTAGGACATCCTTTCTAGCCCCTTCCCCACCAAGGGGTAAGCAGTGCTGTCCATAAATAGGGCCGCTTAGACAAACCAGACGGATGCCAAACTCCGCTGTGTCACGAATTTGTTTAGTGGGGACCGACCAAAGTTAGCCTAGGCCGCCTGCGAGAGTGCATGTCACCGTAGGACTTTTTGAAGTGGGGAGAGGGAGGGTAAATGAGAAGGGAAGCAACGTTAGCGGGTGTGGGGACACAAACAACACCGGATACCCTCAACCGCCGGTCGAGGCCGTTACCGGGATGCGGTCGTTTGACAGGGCCTAGCTTCGGGAACCACAGGTGAGAGTTGGGTGCCAGTTACCGGACGTTAGGCGCAGCCACCACTTGCATGAGACAAATGATGCCACCTACTGCGACACCCACGCAGAGCACGCAACCGGACACTTCATACACCGGTGAAATATGTGGGACGTGAGTCGCAAGGCCGATGCGGTAGTGTCTTCGGCGTGCCATAAGCTACCGATTCTCTCTTGTCAGTTGAATGCTTGCGTATTGGCGACACCGTGGCATAGATCAGTATTCTGATTTTTGTTGGTTGGCCGCAGCCGTGCATGCCTCAGGCCCACACGAACCTGGAGGGCAACGAAACAACAACGGCTGCTTCTCAGTGTGGAGAAACAACTGCGGCTTCTGGCTTCCACCGTGCTTCTGTGTTCTCGACCAAGGTAAGGGGTCGTCCTTCTAGTTCTTTCGTACTGAGTTCCCACTTGGGAAACTTAGCCGACCACTGTATTTCGACACCAGGCAACAGCAGTGCCCGACACGTAATGTTTCCTGCAAATTTTTGCCTCCAAATGCAGAAATTGTAGGGCAGTTTGTACAATGTATGGAGCGGTAGTTTCCCCGCCCTCGACGTCCATTGTCATGTGGCAGCTTCTTCGTGGCGCGTTCTTCATAGTGCATCAATGACCGATTTCTGGCCAAACTGCATCGCTTCCACCCCGTCCCCAGGAAGTACGAACATCTGCGCGTAACAACCTAATCACTTTTGGATTTAGCATTTTCCTCACTCTCTCAAACACCGCCACCAATACGCGGCGGGGGGGGGGACAGACGCGCGTCCCGAATGAGCCTGCTAGCACGTTTTAACCACATTTCACTACCTACAGTTTACAATGCTCCTTCTTCTGTAGTCTGTCTCTTCCTCATAACCGATACTTGGTCTGGGAGTCATGATGGTTGGTTTGTACACAGGAATCTGGCTGTTGTGACATAGCCAGGGCCACCCTGTCATCATTCAGGACCCGATTACTGGGGGCCAATTCCCAACTTCCCTCACAGTCGTTCACTTCAGATCGGGAGGTCCCGGCGTCAACTGGCAGGCTCAGTATCTAGCTCATGTTCGAACAGCTCCAAAGTTGATGGAACAGCCAAATTCAGAAGACAATTTGGCGAGCATACGTAAGCATTCGATAAATTCTCATTAGGCCTATACATTCATATTGCTGTCGAAATTATTAAAAGGAAAATGCGGGCAAACAGAAGTTATTCCCTAGCTGGTAATTACCTCTGATATTTTGAGAATATACGCCAAAAGCACCGTGGAGGAACTAAGAGGTCACATGCGCCAACGAGCTGTAGTCCCGGCAATCTATCCAAAATCACTTGGACAGCGTCTGTTGCCAACAGCAGAGGCGGCTGCAATTAGGCTATGTAAACCAGTTCTATTTGCACAAATGAACTCCGTACAGGTCCCACAGTTACCATGGTCCAAAGTCACCATGCCAGCCACCTGCGTATAATTACCCGTCCCAGTGCCCGCCATCCCCTTCTCCCCCCTGACACTGACGGTAATTTTGCTTTTCATTTCACCCACCCAGACCCTCCCCCCAAACCCCAGCTACAGAATAACTTCTGCTTGCCCGTATTTTCCTTTTAATCATTTCGACAGCAATAGAAATGTATAGGCCTGACGAGAATTTATCGAAGGCTTACGTATGCTCGCCAAAGTGCCTTTTGAATTCTTCAATGGGAATTTTTGCAACACTAAAACAGCCAAATTATTGAGGAATCAGACCGGTGATTGCCAAAATGCCTGTTCTACGGAGATTTCGTTACAGGCAACCGGAACTGCTGAGGATGCAAACAAGTAAAAGGGACCATCAAAATGGCTGAAAATTGACTAATAATTCATTTGGTGACCTCATAGCCCAGGGTAGGGTCAACGAGGCAGAGCATTTGGCTCCGACAAGAAACTAGGAAATTGCCGATATAGGCGGAGAGGCTTGTTGCAGGAATTGATTGGAGAGATGGAGACTAGTTGATAAAATGATAATTTAATTTTCTCAATCACCCGACTTCTCCTCCAGGATTGTCACTCGAGGCTTCAGAGCTACTCCAAAGACATAGATACGGTGAACTCATAGACGAGGCCGGAAAAACTGCTTCAACAGAGGTTGACCTAACGAAGCACCATACGTGACGTCGTACTGGAGAACAAGTTCCGAAAGCAGTTTAATAAAGAGCTGCCTAAAACGATTATCTGGTACTCTACTTTAAACTGAATAAAGTGACGAAAAAACTAATGCAGATGTTACGACATTAGGCCTCATTCAACGCATGCGAGGTCAAACTTGTCAACACGTTCTCAGCAGCAGCAGAGGCGGCGGAAGAAGTGTAGAACTTGGTCCGCAAATCACGTACTATCCTCCACGAAGACGAACGCCGGGTACTGAGATAACCAAAGGCTGACAGAGACACCAATATCTTGCCCGTGAACAAGAGGTGTTTGACCATCAAAGTGGACGGGGCAGACGGCCTTCAGGAGATAAAAGCTTACTGGAAGGTCGTTTGTTATATATTATGTGCGAAGCTAACTCTGTAAAAACGCTCCCACACAAAAGTTATACAGTGTCGTTAGCAATGGAAACTGAAGTGCAACTTTGTCGATAGCTCTACTCATGGCGACAGTCCAGGAAACAACTCTGTCCTTTCAAAGTTGCGCAAAGTGGATTCTCCCCTAGTATCTTTCAAATCACTCAAAGGCACTGCAAGTTATGGACTGGCAAATAGTCTCTTTCGAGTTCTCACTTCCGACTGAGGGCTCAAACATCACAGTCGGTTCCCCAACACAAATCTTGGAAAACTTGGAAGGGCAAATCTCCTGCCCTCTCCCGATTGTTACCCTCCTGCCAAATGAAGCCATAGGGCAGTGCCTTCTAGGGGTAAATTGAGGAAATGACTATCCACGCAACTAAGTCAACAGTGAACGTGTAACGAATCGGTTACTGGACGTATCTTAGGCGTTACAATCAGGTGAAATTCTG